TTGCGTCTCGATAGCTATAAGGGTGCGGGAGATATGGGCTTGAAAGTGGTTGAAAGTGGAAGACTTTCTATTTCTATTTTAAAAATTTTCGAATTCGAATTCGAATTGGTTCGATTATAGAACGATTGTAAACGTTCCAGAAAATTGATCAAATTGAAAATAGTTCGTTTGACTGGACGTGAACAGGAGACGTTCTGTCTGGAAACGGGGGACCTAATTCTTGCATTTTGTGAAAACGGGTAAGATTGGCTATAATGTAATTATCTTAATCTTCACTATCGTTATTTTTTGCCCACAAATAAAATCCAGCGAAGCGGGTCCTTGCAGCTAGTAACACAATAAATATGCACGTTATAAAAGTATAACCTATATATTTATTGTTATAGTTTATAGTTGGAGAGTTCTCTGTAGCTGGAAATTGTACTGTACTGTACTGTACTGTACAATGTAAGTTTCAGAATAATAGAGAATTGAAACAAAGGCTGCTAAATATGACTGGCGTCTAACTACAGAACGATTCCGTAGCCGTAGTTCTGTTTTTTACCACGAGATGTCGCCACTTCGTGACGTCAAGAAGCTGGACAAGCATAATTATGTCTGTGGTGTAAATACACCACAGACAGAATTAATTTATTACGAACGAATTTTGCTACTGTTCGTTTGTTAAACGTCAAATTTGTCTTTTGTCTAATGTTCAATGTTTATATTATAGCTTTAAAAGATGATTATTATTTTTATCAAAATATGTCAAATTATACAGTATACTGTAAGGTCTCGTTTTTTGCGGTGCATACGTTCTACAGAAAAGCGCATATAAAAAATTCGCATAAAAAAGACTTTACTTGCCTTGAAAAAGTAGGGATACGTTCCGTAATTTTCGAAAATCGCATAAAACCAAAACAACAAGTTAAAATTAACTTAAAACCGCATAAAAAACACCGCTAAAATAAAATTTAATTTCGAAGCAATTACAGTTTATACCTTTTAATGCGAAACTCAGAATGATGTAATAGCGACTTGTCGATGGTAAGTATCATGTACAAATTACAAAAGCTCATTCTAAAAACAAATCACTAACATCTGGATGTAAAGAGTTAATTAAAACACCTTTAATTCCTCGCCCGAGTTAATTCGGGCAGGTTACATAGCGTTACATAAAACACGGTCCTTAAGGCCATTTTTAAATTTTTTGTATTTTTGGAATGTTTTTTAAGTCTCCAAATTTTTTTAAAAATATACGGGCAGCTAGTGTTTACCCTACTTTAAACCCTTGTCCTCCCGCGACGTCTATGAGAATGCTCCGGGAAATCCAATTCCAGCTATGTTCAAGGTCATCCAGATGTGTAAACAATGACTCATGGGTGTTAAATTTCACAGAAGGGCGAGACAAAGGAAGTTAAACTTTGAAGCTTTTTCTTCAAAATTAACGCATTTCTTTCGTTTTTTTTAGTTTTAAGTATTTTTTATGTTTAATTACATTTATATCAAAAATTGCTAGGAACTAAAGCGATTAAGGTAGATCTAGCTGTCCTTTACATCCATAAACGTTATATGTCAGTGGAACAAATGGAGTGAGCTTTGAGCGTTCCACGATTTTTGGAGACTGTCTATACGCGGGCTTCCTAAACAAGCCTATATGTATGTTTGTCCAAGAAATTTTTGGATGAAATAAAAACCGCACAACTTCAAAATCGCATAAAAATAATCCGCATAAAAAGAGACCTTACAGTATTATAAAAGTTATTCTACAGAATATGTAGACTTTCGTTCTTAAATTATTTTAATCTCAAGATTTTCCTGCTGATTTTTCAATCTCTTACTCGAATTTTTTTTTGTATCATTTAATAAAATTATTCATTGCTTTTTAGAAATAATTTTGTGAGGATCCAAATCCAGACTTTCCGTGTGTTTATATCATTTCATCATAAGATCATATCGTAGTCATACTTTCATTCAATGGTGGCATAAGATCACAGTCAGGGCCGTGCGGTAGATTTTCTAAGTATGATGCAAGTCTTCGAAATGCCGCCCCTTATATAAATTATTAGTCCTATATAGGCTATAATTCTTATTATTTGGTGTATCTTACCAGGGCCGTGCGGTAAATTTTCTAAGTACGATGCAAGTCTTTGAAATTCTGCCCCTTAAATGTTTTTTATGCCACCTCCCTCACGGTGCCGCCTTATGCGGCCGCATCTCTGCATCATAGCACGGCACGGCCCTGATCACAATGTACCTATTCTTTCGTTCAATAACAGTCAACTTTTACACCTGGGAGTTAAACATCTGTTAAGTTCTCAGGCCTAATAAAGACGCTTTCTTATCGCCTTTCGACCTAATATCGCGATTTTAACAGTTCAACATTAGAAAAGAACAACAAAATGAGTCAGTCGTCGCCAGCTCTTCCATCGGATTACTTCTACGTAATATCTGTGCTCATTTGGATACCTCTTCGTTTTTGAATATCAAGAATCGCCTAATATCAAAGGAAAAAGTCAGAACCATTGGACTTAACACTACTTTCCCGAACTTTCTGTCTTACCGACTGGATCCAGACCAAGATATCAAAAAAGGTATTTATCCCCACGCGTATTAATTGTAAACTCTCTCTCTCGAGAACGCTCATTTAACTTTACTATCAAACTTTACTATCAACATATTGTAAGATATGTATTCCCTATCATTACCCATTAAACATTTGTTATGTTAATCTAGTCTACGAAGGAATCACTTCCGGTGCGCTCTCTCCTTCCATCCCGACTCTGATCGCTCCGTTACGCGACCGCTCGCGTGACCTAAATAACGCGGCTTCCGTGTCCGCCGAGACGCGATGGTGTCATCCTGACAGGGCATTAAAGAGGTGCCGACCCTTCGGTCACAATTTAAATATTTTATAATAGAAAATTTGCAATATTTTATTTTACAATTAACGTTTATCTTTGAAATGATTCACAAAACCAAACTCAATTTTCTCCATAGGCATCCTTATTTGGTTTTCACGAGATTTTAAAAAACTGAACCCTAGGGAATACCAAGAGTTAAGTGTATCTTGTGTAATTTGAGTAGTCTTTTTAAATTGGTAGTTTAAATCCATCAACAAATTATCATCGTCAGTAAAATATTAGTGAACTTTTTGTAGCCTGATTTAACAGATCTGCTATGATTTATTTGAACGTTAGCTAAGAAAAAATGCTACAGTATTCATAAGAAAGATGTTTTCTTCATGAAAAAGATTTATTGAAAATTATAGATTTGCAACATTTTCATATACACAATCTGTTATTGAATGTTTTCCTTTTGTAAGTACAGTACATTTCTGAATTGAGCGTAGTCGTGATCCCATGTGCCAGAGCCGCACGAGTAGAATTTATAAATTCCACGAATTTTTAGACAGTACGACGCAGTTAACTTTAGTTGTTTCTCAACTTATCTGTGGCTTTCCATTCGTAGAAATCTGTCAAATACAGTACATAATATTGTTATTTACAACTGAATGAGCTGTTAATATTCATGAAAACAATTATTTTAAGATATATTCATTAAATACAGCATTTTTAAAATTTCAGAAGAAAATTTACTTACCCTTTATAGTTTTGAATTTCAGTTTCTGAATTTCACAGGCAAACCCATGTACAGGTACAGTACTTTCTTAAATGTTCACGTAATCGAAGGAAAGTAGAAAATCCTTCAGAGCACGAAGTCTCGCGACAGAATATAGAATTTTTCTCCAGCAGGATTTGCTTATGTTCTAAACCTACACGCTTGTTAGTAAGATTTCCTTTTGAGGAGAAGCGCTTATCGCAATAACAACAAGTATTTTCTAATATACCAACGCAATATTTACCATAACGATTTCTTAGCAACGTAGCGGGAATACAGTACTTCGAAACCAATTATCGATGGGCGTATTCAAAATCTCAGCATCAATCCAGCGAAATGCTGCCGGAAGTGATGCAACTGCTGGCATTTTCTAGAGAACACAAACGCTGACTGCCAGGAATTTCGGGAGAGAAAAACAATAAAAAAGGCGAATGATGTGGACTTCCGCTTTACGTTAAATGATTTTTTAACTTCTTTAATTAGAACAGATTAATGAAAAATACAAATTTCGAAAAGAGAAATAGAGATAAAGATACAGTAAATATACAATAATAATATTCTATTAAAGTATTAACCGAATATTAATTTATTCAGGGTTTATTCATCAACAAATAAATTAAATTCAAAATTGGCAATGCAAAATAGAGCTCTTAAGAGCCTTATGGTGGCTGCCATCTTGTTTGCTAGCTTATCCAGCACTGAAAAAGACGCTTGCAGTTTGCTGCCAGCGCGCTGCCAGCAACCGGAAAGTTGGCTGAGATTTTGAACAGAGGTGCTGAGAGGCGCTGGCAGCGCGCTGAGATTTTGAATACACCCGATGATAAAGTATGGTTTTAAAGCTAAAATATCGACAAAAAATTCCAAGCACACCGTACAGCACTAGGTATACGCTATCTGAACGTCACGACACTAGCGGCATCTCGTGATAAAAACCAGAACTACGGCTACGGAATCGTTCTGTAATTAGACGCCAGTTAAATATGTGTTGCATTTATTACATTAGTTCTTAAGTCTGATTAATTATTTAATAAATATAGACTACTACAAAACGATGTTAGTGTTCTAAATGTTAAAGACTGCACTTAGTGAATCTAATACTTTACACGTGTTGACTGTAGCATTTGGCTCGAGAATTGGCTACTTTTTAAAAATTATTCGGCTACGAAAGCTAAAAACATCTGGCAACAACTTCTTCATTTCTATCATCGTAAAAGGTTGGTACACACGTTAGTTTTGGTTAGTCATTCCTTCGATTCAATTAATTGAAATTTTTGGTAAGTACTTCTATTTTAAATATTATAGAAATACTAATTTCTATACAAATTTTATAACCATATCATTCATTTGACGGGAATTTATATGATGATATATTTAGAAATGAGAGAAGTTGATTTTCCGTTCGTGTTTTAACACGTTATGCGTTTTCTTGTTTAAGCTGTTGTATCGTTAATTAGCTAACGAATACGACAAAAACCAATTTCACTCGTAACCACGAAACCACATGATTACGGTTTAATTAACTATTTTGAATCGCACGTTTCGTATTCGGTTCCGATAGCCACGTGAGATAACCAAGGTTTTCTTATCGATCATTCTCGAGATTCTGTTACGAACGTAAGGAAATTTAAAGTGAAGACTACTTAGAAAAATAAAATATTTTCGAGTCTTTTCTTTATCCTTTTACAGAACTACAGAAGTAACATTTAAAATGGGTTAAAGCAAAATCTGTATTAAAATGACATATAATAGATAATTACAATTCACACAAAGTTAAAATTGACTTGTATATTTGTTTTATTATTTATAGGAATTGATAGATCTATAGGATAGGAACTACTGTATATGATAATTGATATATAATTAGGCTAAGGATATGATTGTATGGTGAGTATAAATGGGCACTTGTACCATTTAGGGGGTACGACTATTTGAGAGGTTTTCTTCCATAAAATTAATCAAATCTAAACTAATTTCACTCGAATATTTTCAAAACACGTATAATTTGTTGGAAATGATCGATATAAAATATGCTACGAACAAAAAATTGTCGGAATACTTATCGAATGTGCACCGTCGACCACGCCGTTGCTTAAGCTTGTTTTCGTCGCGGAGCGGCACATTTCTTCGTACGCGTCCGCTTTCAATGTGTCACGTGACATTTTGTCGGTGCTATTCGGTCACGTGACTACTCATCTCTGACGTGTTCCCGATAACTTATTATTTTTGCGAAGAATTTATGCTAAGAAACATAAAGTTTTCGTATTTAGATTTTTATTTATTTATATATTTCTTATTTCTTCCTACATACAACTTTGTTAGTACAGAAGAAATAAATGCAAATGTGCTACTTACACCGCAGTATTTCTTTTATCTCCGAAAGTAATTCTAAGAAACTATTAATGCTTGGAATTTTAAAAATAGTTAAGAAAAATTGTAGGCTTAGTAGTAGGCTTTGAAAATTTAAATGTTTTTGCAAAAGATATGCAAAATCTTTATGGGTGTTTTAGTTCTTATTTAGTTTTAGCATCGACTTTGGATCGAATAATAGTGCATTTCTTTCTTATATTGTGTGTTTAGTTTTAATTATTTATAATTAACCCGTAAAATCGCTAAAAAAAAAACAGAAAAGAACATTATAAAAGTTTTTAATATAAGTAATCGCGGACCAGGACCTTCAAAAAGAAAATGTAGTGAAGAAAATACATAATGAAATAATAAAGTTATATTTTACATTTATTATATAAAAAAAATAAAGCAATAATAAAAAAATCAATTTGTTATAGATAATTTAACAAATATAAATTATTATTAAAAAATTGGGGGTAAAAAAAATTATGAAATATTTTGTTGGCCGCGAGTATAAAAAGATTAAGAATCACTGCCCTAACGACAGCTTACAAAGCTTACTTGTAAATCCGGCCCTAATGAGCAGTGGCATAGCGAACATAATTGGCACATGGAACGCGACACTTTATTTGCGCCCCCTCCCCACTCCAGAAACAAATCTTGTCTTGGAGATTATTTGGCGCCCCTCTGCGAGTGGCGCCCGGGGCATGATAGACCACCTTGCCCCCCTCGCTACACTAGTGCTGATGGGGCATATGAAATCTGATGTTTTTTAACGCAAAGGGCACAAATATGTAGAGAACGATCTCGCTTTGTTTCCATACCACATAATGACGTGTCCCGCTAGCAATAATTGTTCTTTCTATAAAATTTCTCGATAAGCAGCATATATCATGATAACGGACAGTAATATATGATTAATTTTACATTAGTACTTACAAGCGACCCAGATAAAGTAGCCATTTTGTAAAAATTCTTCTATAGTTCATGAAAAAACGTGAATATCGAAACGTCACTCTCCTCAGCCGTGTGACATCTCTGAGGTGTTTCAGGACAATTTATTTTTGTCGTCGAAGATATCGTACCGTAATTTTAAATTATGTTCCGCATACAGCACGTGATAGAGCAGTGAATACATATTTCCTAACACGCCGTTCATTTCTTTTTAGACCCGGAAGTGTCTGCAGACAACAGTTTAATAAACTCTTTTAAATGCCGATAACCTTTTGTGAATAATTAGAAGTTTTTCATCTAAATTAACATATTTATATTGTTTGATATATTTTATTAATTTAAACTAAAATTATATGACAATATTATAATTACGGATAACGTTATCAATCGGCTGTTGTAATTCTGATCAATCGGTACCGAAATACAATTTAAAATTAGTTAAAATAATCCGTTCGTTATAATAAAACTTTGGCTATTATTGTGATAATTACACCGGTAGACAAACGAAAAGAATTAGAAAATTCACACAAAATGAACCTTTTCTTCGAACTTCTAACTGAAGCATACCCTATGGGCATGACAAGACTTCTTAGAAAATCGATCTTCAGTCGTTTTTTAATGATCAACATTTTTACATTGCGATTTCTTTAGTTTTGTGATCTGTTAACAAAACACTGTTTTTTATGCTAAATGTAGCATATATAAATTTGTAATAAGTATAAAATGGAATTATTACTAATTCTTATTGGTTAAGTAATTAAGGGATAAGCAGGGGGTAAAGGGGTATTCCNAAAAAGAATAAATAAATAAATAGAAAGTGAGTAGAACGAGGGAATTGTGGCATGTTACGTGTTAAAATATCTTCCAGTTACATTACGTTTGATAAACTTTTCGGAAGTTTTTACACCTAAATGAAGGATTTATGTTGTATAATGTAGGCAAAAATAATTGTAAAATTATAATTTTTTCACTGGGAAACAGATTTTATTGTCATTAAATGTGTGAATAATTTCTTATTCAAAATTTTCTTTAATAATACAAAATATCAATTGTAATTATGTTATATATAATTTTACCGAATATTGAAATCTTAAATATGTAGTAATTATGAATAATAAAAGTTTTCAAGATCAAGATGGCGGATTTCACTAGTTTACACGTGTTAGACGACGACCACGTGAATTATAAAAGTTTGTATTCGATATCGGGCACTTGTACTGTTTAGTGGGTACGGCTATTTGAGAGGTTTTCTTCTATAAAATTAATCAAATCCAGACTAATTTCAGTCGAATATTTCCAAAATACGTATAATTTGTTGGAAATGATCGATATAAAATATGCTATGAACAAAAAATTGTCGGAATACTTATCGAGTGTACCGGTTCGAAGACACCATTGTTTAAGCTTGTTTTCGTCGCGGAGCGTCACGTCGGACGCGTACGAAGCGTGTCACGTGACATTTGTTGTCCGTGCTATTCGGTCACGTGACTACATATCGCTGACGTGTTCCCGATAACTTATTCTTTTTGCGAAGAATTCGCTGAACTTTAGAGACCACGTGATAGATCATAATATACTATAGATTTTTATTGTAATTAGAAACGACTTATTATTATTGACTTTGGTAAAACCGCTCGCGAATAGCACAATTGCTTGATATCGTTTGAATTAACAGTATCTTGTATTTATAGCCTACTAGCTTAACCGTCGCACATTACTGCGATGAAAGGAAATTCAAGCAAACTCATTTCGATAAAATTCAATTTACATTTTAACATTTTTATTGAAACTTATTATTATTATTTATTTTCATCGGAAAAACATTTCAAAGTGTCGTTTCAACTCTATTTATTTATTGGAGATAATGGATACGCGATTGGATACGCGATTTTTTATTGTTTTTCCGTCTGGTGCGTACACGAATAAATAAGGTTTTCCGACGCGCGAGCCGGCCACATACAGCTGTACTCGTGAGAAGCGCGAATCCTGCAAATTTATCCCACACACTCGCAGCGATTGTCAGAAGCGCGATTTTCTCCATTTTTATATATTTTTTAAAATCCTTTACAATTTTAATTATTTAAACGCTCTTTCCTCTCTTCCTCGGCGTATTGTGAAATTTCTGATAGTCAGATAATAAACCGTTTTATTGTAATTTGTCTTTTTAAATTATTTTGAGTCGATATTAAAATTTGAAAAAGGGGGATACCTAGATAGTGTGGAGGAAAGCGTNTATTAATGCTTGGAATTTTAAAAATAGTTAAGAAAAATTGTAGGCTTAGTAGTAGGCTTTGAAAATTTAAATGTTTTTGCAAAAGATATGCAAAATCTTTATGGGTGTTTTAGTTCTTATTTAGTTTTAGCATCGACTTTGGATCGAATAATAGTGCATTTCTTTCTTATATTGTGTGTTTAGTTTTAATTATTTATAATTAACCCGTAAAATCGCTAAAAAAAAAACAGAAAAGAACATTATAAAAGTTTTTAATATAAGTAATCGCGGACCAGGACCTTCAAAAAGAAAATGTAGTGAAGAAAATACATAATGAAATAATAAAGTTATATTTTACATTTATTATATAAAAAAAATAAAGCAATAATAAAAAAATCAATTTGTTATAGATAATTTAACAAATATAAATTATTATTAAAAAATTGGGGGTAAAAAAAATTATGAAATATTTTGTTGGCCGCGAGTATAAAAAGATTAAGAATCACTGCCCTAACGACAGCTTACAAAGCTTACTTGTAAATCCGGCCCTAATGAGCAGTGGCATAGCGAACATAATTGGCACATGGAACGCGACACTTTATTTGCGCCCCCTCCCCACTCCAGAAACAAAGCTTGTCTTGGAGATTATTTGGCGCCCCTCTGCGAGTGGCGCCCGGGGCATGATAGACCACCTTGCCCCCCTCGCTACACTAGTGCTGATGGGGCATATGAAATCTGATGTTTTTTAACGCAAAGGGCACA